AGTTCTGTAAATGAAAAACTCAGTGTTTTCAGAGGTTAAGTAACTTGTCCAAGTGGTGGAAATAGTGATTTCTATTTGAGTCATTCCAATGCATAACCTGTTCTCTTAACCACTCTGCTATACCTCCCCTGGGGAGATAGGGAAATTTGTGGGCCAGATGCCAAGTCCTTGATGCAACAGCAGAAGGCAAGGGCGATGATGAGAGGGAGGTGGTAGATCTGCCTATAGTATGAACCTTAAAGAAGGTATAGTGTAGACAAGATGGATCTGATTATATGTGCCAAATTTAGAAAAAGAAAGAGATCAGCGATGAAGTCAGAATCAGTGAAATTGACATTAGGAACAAGGTAAGCAGAGAGAAGTGAGACGGGAAGCAAAGACAGAAATCTCACAGTTCCTGTGGGGAAACACTTTCAACACATCTGCTTTAAAAAAAAAGTTGCTTCAATTTGCCTACTTGTTCATATGCATATAAAATCATCTATGTAGATATTCTATATATTCTGTCTCAACATCCTTACATATAATCTTTCATAGTGATTAGGTTAGGTAGTAAACAGGGTTCTAATCACTTTCATATTTCAAACTTATCTTTTTTTAAATTTCATTTTTTTTAGACAGGGTCTTGCTGTCAACAGTGGCTCAGTCATAGCTAAATGCAGCCTGAAACTCCTGGGCTCAAGTGATCCTATTGCCTCAGCCTCAGCCTCCCAAGTAGCTGGGACACAGGTGTGCGCCACTATGCCTGGTTAATTGTTTTTTGAGACAGAGTCTTACTCTGTCATCCAGGCTGTAGTGCAGTAGCATGATCTTGGCTCACTGCAGTCTCTGCCTCCAGGGCCTCAAGTGATTCTCGTACCCTAGACTCCAGAGTAGCTGGGAATATAGGCTTGTGCCACCACACCTGGCTAATTTTTGTATTTTTAGTAGAGACAGGGTTTCACCATGTTGGCCAGGCTGGCCTTGACCTCCTGACCTCAAGCAATTCTCCCATCTTGGCCTCCCAAAGTGGTGTGATTACAGGTGTGAGCCATTGCACCTGCCTTGAACTCATTTTAATGACCAACAAGTTGTTTTATTGTTTTTAACTGCGGAGAAATACATGTAACAAAATTTATCATCTTAAGTCTGATTCAGCAATATGAAATGCACGCACAATGTTGTGCGATCATCATTGCTATCCATCTCCAGAACTCTTATCCCAAACAGAAACCCTGTGTTTATTAAATACCTCCTCATTTCCCTCTGCCCCAACCCCCTGGCAACCACCATTCTATTTTCTCACATCCAAGTACTAAACAGGCCCAAACCTGCTTAGCTTCTGAGATCTGACAAGACTGGGCCTGATCAGGGTGGTATGATCATAGGTCACCATTTTCTTTTCTGTTTTTATGATTTTGACTACTCTAAGTACTTCCTGTAAGCACAAGCATACATTATATGAATGACTATCTAATGTTTAAGACTGCCCAGCCAATGCCAAGGTCATTCACTGTTGCTGACCTGCCTGGAGTAAACCTCACTGTAAGGAAATTCTCTTGCCTCAGGGGCTGAACATCAGTATTTTGAAATAAAAATCACTTTTATGAGACCACAATTTGAGGGACTAGCCTAGCATTAAACAGAAACTTCAAAATCAGATAAGCTATAGTAGAAAATGAGCAGTGATTGGGTTGAGGATCAATGATTTATGTTAATATTTGGCATATGCGTTCATCATTTATTAAAAATGATAAAATTTATCCTAAATCAACCAGCTAGAAGTGATCTCTAAATTGTTCACCTTTCTATTTATTAGTGTAAAAAACTGATTCAGGCCAGGTGTGGTAGCTCGTACCTGTAATCCCAGCACTTTGGAGGCAGAGGACAGATCATTGCTTGAGGCCAGGAGTTCAAGGCCAGCCTGGGAAACATAGGGAGACGCTGTCTCTACAAAAAATAAACGTTAAAAAAAAATTAACTTGACATGGTATCGCGCATCCATAGTCCTAGCTACTCAGGAGGCTGAGGTGGGAGAACTGCTTGAACCCAGTTTAGGTTACAGTGAAATGATTGTGCCACTGCACTCCAGCCTGTATGACAGAGTAAGAAACTATCTCTAGACAAAGTAAAAAATAAAACAGATTCACTGCTTCTAACCAGGGCTATATTAGAACCTATCTATGGCAACTCCTTTGCTTTAGGGCAAGGTTTCTCAGCTTGTGCATTATTGACATTTGAGGCCAGGTAAGTTTTTGCTGTGGAGGGGTGTCTGTCCTGCGTATTGTAGGAGGTTTTGCACTTTCCTTGGCTTGTACCCACTAGATGCTAACAGTGCCTCCACATCCAAATTGAGACAATCAAAAATGCCTCCAGATATTGCCAAATGTCCTCCAGCAGGCAGAAGTTACCCACAGTTGAGAACCACTGCTTTAGGTAGATGGAGATCTTTATTAAATTAAAAAAAAAAAAAGTGAAAAAAATCCCAAGTTCTTGATGTTCTTCATTAAATTAAAAAAAAAAAAAAAAAAAAAGAGGAAGATGAGAAGAAAAAGCACATTTTTTGCTTTATTGATGTTATCTAACATTGATTCTATGTCTCTACTCTGACCTAAACTTTGATGAAAGTGTAAATTTGGCTTTAGACTAAAACTAGCAAAATTGTCAGGCAATCTCTTTTTGCATTCACTTCCAATAAATAATAGATTTACACTTTCTTAAGGGGAAAAATACTGTCCTATGAATCTGACATTAACATGGAATGAATACAGGGAGACAGAGCTGCACAAAGCATGCTGGTCAGCATGGTTTGCAAAAAGCAGCATCCCTGGGTGCTTTACCACCCCGAGTAACAGGCCAGCCCCTCCAATAACACTCTAATTTCTGAGGACACATTAACATGTTTCTCCCATCACCAGATCTACAACTACGTATTTACAGCATACAGACTTTAGGGGTGTCAGATGCACAGTAGGTGCTCAAATATTTAACAAGTGAAAGAAGGATCAGAACCAGGTTAGTAGAGGCCAATATGTAAAAAACTGGAGTCTAAAACATTTCACTTCTGAAGTTTTCAGATTATGTAAAATTGAAGTGTTTGGGATGTTAATTTTAATTGCATTATTCTGCTGAAGTCTTCAGTGGAATCCTTAGTTCACACAGAATATATAGTAGAATATATATCTCAGAATGTCTACTACTCCATCTTGGGCCATTCCCCGACTAGCTCAGGTTCTAGTCAAATCAAGTTGTGTAACAATGGCCAGTTGGGGAGACACAAAGTGCTATGTTTGGTTTGAAAAAGAAAATTCAACAGTATAACTTTACAAGATAGGAAAAACTTTCGAAATCCTAACCACTAAAATAAAAGCTATATCCAAGTTTGCTTGCTTGCAAAGATGCAGATTGTTTTTCTTTTGTATTTTAGAGGTGGGGGTCTCACTATGTTGCCCAGGCTGGCTTCTAACTCCTGGGCTCAAGTGATCCTCCTGCCTCACCCTTCCGAGTATCTGGGACCACAGTTACCTGGGCCACCACAGATTGCTGTTTTTGTTGCAGATATTTTTAAAGGAGAAGGGAGGGAAATTTAGCAGTAGTTTACAAGGTTCCAGTGACATGCCCTAATGCTTCTTGCCATTTACACATCACTGCCTTGCTACTTTTGTGTCTCTTCTCTGCTCACTCTATAACCCTCAATGTATCTCAGACACATTCCGCGTTTAGACTAAGTTTAAGCATCACCTCTTGGAGTCTCGCTCTGTTGCCCAGGCTACATTAGAAGCTACCTTTTAGAAGAAAGAATATATTTGAAAGTATTGTTAAGGGCTGGGCATGGTGGCTTATGCCTGTAATCCCAGCGCGTTGGGAGGCCGAGGTGGGGGGATCATTTGAGGTCAGGAGTTCAAGACTAGCCTGGCCAACATGGCGAGACCCTGTCTCTACTAAAAATAGAAAAAATTTTTTTATAGGTGTGGGGATATGTGTCTGTAATCGCAGCTACTTAGGAGGCTGAGGCAGGAGAATTGCTTGAACCTGGGAGGTGGAGGTTGCAGTAAACCCAGATTACATCACTGCACTCCACCCTGACTAGGAGATACAGCGAGACTCCATCTCAAAAAACCAAATAAAATAAATACATGCATAGAAGTATTCAAAATGTTAGTTAATTCTAATCCTACAGTTTTCAGTATTAAATCAAACTCATTATTTTAGTATTCTAAAATAGCAAGCAATATAGATTATCTCTAGTGGTGAGATTAAAAGTAATTTTTTTTTTTGAGACAGACAGTCTTGCTCTGTTGCCCAGCCTGGAGTGCAGTGGTGCAATCTCAGCTCAGTGCAAAGATATAAAAAAGATATATGGCCGGGCGCGGTGGCTCAAGCCTATAACCCCAGCACTTTGGGAGGCCGAGGCGGGTGGATCACACGGTCAAGAGATCGAGACCATCCTGGTCAACATGGTGAAACCCCGCCTCTACTAAAAATACAAAACATTAGCTGGGCGTGGTGGCGCATGCCTGTAATCCCAGCTACTCAGGAGGCTGAGGCAGGAGAATTGCCTGAACCCAGGAGGCGGAGGTTGCGGTGAGCCGAGATCGTGCCATTGCACTCCAGCCTGGGTAACCAAAGTGAAACTCCGTCTCAAAAAAAAAAAAAAAGATATAAAAAATTGCAAAGATATAAAAAATTAAGTTTAAAAAGCCTCATGCATTATGGAGTAATATGCCAACTGTCATTTCTATTCACTGTAAATGCTGTTCTAGCTGAGCAATTATAAGCTACATTTGAATTAACAAACATTTCGCCTTATCAATGATGTTATCAGTTAGATTCCAGTCTTTTACTGTAAGACATAACTTGATAATAGAAGTAATTTTGACTTAAAGTTTGTAAGAATAAAATACGAAGAAACACAGCAGATTAACTGCAAAACTGAAGGCTCAGGTTCAAACCACATCTTACTTGAAAATCTTAGAAGTCTATTATAGATTTGGAAACCCAAAAGAAATAAACATGTTTTTCAATCTGGAATATATGCTTTTAATTAGTTCTCAGCAGTGCAGTAAATGAACACTAATAATTTGGTAGAGAATAGCAGGAAATTTAAACAGTAGCTTTTTGTGACTGTTTTTAAGTAGCTGACATCTAAAAATGTTTCTGGAATGAACAAATTAAGGGTCTATCATATATAGTGATTTAAATAATCAATAACTTTCTTATAGCCTTATCAACTGAAATTATAGAACTGTAAACTTTTTAAAATGTTTATATACATTAGCTTTCATTTAGACACATTAAACCATATTTTTCCATTGTGTAGTTAATTGATTTCTTGAGTGGCTGTCTGCCACTAGATGCCAGGTACTTGATCTAATTTCCCAGTTAGAGTTACTATTCAGCTTAAGTCACTCTACTTAGTTGTCAACAGTAGTTAAAGCAGTATCTTAAACCAGATGTCAAAATTAAATCAATATTTTGATTAGAAATGATTACAAACATATCCAAAGGTCAAATCTACCGAGAAGAGTTCAATGTTTAAAATGCATTTTCTTCTTACAGATAAGCTGTAATATATACATGTGTATATAGCTATATACCTTTGATTGTGGTTGCTACACCTAAAAAATCTTTTCTCCTCAGATGGACTTACAAAATTCAAGAGAACACCACTGATACAAGACCTAAAGTTAAAGAAAAACTTTAACTGAGTGACCTGTTACACTGTGAGACAGAAAAATGACTGATATACATTATTAACTTTTTCAAGTAATGTTATGTACAGTTTTATTGCCAGTATATGCACAACAGTAAGCATAGAACTATAAATACACAATGTAATTAACAGTAGAAAACAAAATTGTTACACGTAGAGGGAGAGGATATAGAGAAACTTTGCCTGCTGCTAGAACAGAAACAAAGGAAGGGGAAAGCCTATGACAAATCATCCATTCAGTACTTGTCTTAAATTCTTTACATACATTTCTACATTTTTTTCAATTAAACAAAGAAAGTACAGATAACTCTGTAACAATAGCAAATTGCTTCCCTAATAGCTATTTGCCTTTTCAATCAAATTCACTTTATATTAGGATTTTTAAAAAGTCAAGATGAGAAATCATTAGTATCCTGGTTCCAAATTATCTAATTTGGCCTTTCACCAAAACTGGTAATTTTTGAAAGTCGGCTGCACATGAAAAGAATGAGTGTAGCAAAAGGTGATTTTAAAAATTTGTTAAAAAGTAACAGAAAAATCACCCTTTGTAGTTTTCCAAAAGACACTATAGGCAGCAGCTCAGTTAAAAGTATTAGCCCTGAAGAGGTAGAGAATTTGAGCCCATTATACTAAGATAGCCTTGGCACCATCTTCTCTCTCATCAGGATCAATATTTTCAAGTAAGACAATTTCATGGTAAAAGGAAACCAGGTTCCACCCTTTAAAGAAAAGGTGCTGGTCACTCCCATGTCTCAATAATTAGTTTGTTTATTACGTGAGATACAGAAGACGGTCAAGGACACACACGCACTTGATTTTTTTTTTGTCTGTTTCCTTTATCAAGTTTATTAGTAAGTGAATTTGATATTAATAAATACAAAAAAAGCATCATTCACAATAAAGATATAAACAAACCAAAAAAACCCTGCAATAAAACCTTCTATTTCAGTATCAAGAAAAAAACAGGCAGATGATTTGGTGCAGCTTTCTTACGGGATCATAGAAGGGACATGGTTTTAAATAAAGATGGCAAGATCAATAACCAACAAACAATATCAGTTTTACAGAACTGGCTGATTCTGTAACATCTGTCTTTGAGGTTTTAGTTTTCAAACTACAGATCACCCCAAAGAAGTTGCAACTAATGACATGTATCACCATTACACAAACAGAGTCCAGCTGTAGTTCAAATTAGTCCTGCTTTGTTTCACATCATTTAAATATTTCTAGCATAGGACATGATACGGAACAAAACTCAAAGTAGCAATAAAAATATTATTCTGCAGTTGAATAAAGGCAAAAATGTTTTAGACTGTTAAAACTTTTAAAGCTTTAAGCATTCCTGTTTAACCAGCATTTAAAAAAATTTATACAATCATAACACTGGCAAAGTTAATGGGAAGACAAAGTACAAACATGTGAAATGATGAATTAGATTAAAAATTACTTTGTATCGATCAATTGATGTTAATACTGCTTCTTCTTGAATTTGGAATAACTATCATAAAAGTTACATGCAGACTGAGGATAGTCCTCTGTTACAGAAAATACAAAACAAAACAAAACAAAAAACTAAAACTGGGAAACAATAGTAAGTTCCAAAGGATGTGTTTGAGAATTTCCTTTCATTGATGAGGGTGGTCTATCTGTCCTTTCTTTTGAGACCTGGTTCGCTTTGACGAGCTTCACTAACTTTGTCCAGAAACATCAGTAGTGGGATCAGCTCCTCCAGAACCCGTTTGTGCACGTTTGATATAAAGATTCAGTAGCTTCATCTGCAGATTCAAGTCAAATAAATGTCATGTGAGCCAGCTGATCCAAATTATAAGATGCTCATTAAAATATTACATACATATATGTGAGCTTTGAAAGATACATTTTAGGCTGGGGGTTATGATAATGCCTGAGGTATTGCTGATAATTAAGAATAACAAATTATTACTTTTTTTGGCTAGCACATCTGAAAAGAAAAAATATGTAAAAAACCAAAAAATTTTTAAGTCTTCAGTTATTCATGATGGAGTATTTTATCATGTCTTTTCAAAATATGTTGTATGGATCACATATAAAACACTTTATATAATCTGGCTCTGTGTTCCCACTTCAAATCTTATTTTGACTTGTAATCTGAATTGTAATCCCCGTGTGTTGGGGGAGGGATCTTGTGGGAGGTGACTGAATCCTGGTTCCCTATGCTGTTCTCGTGATACAGTGAGTGAGTTCTCACAAGATCTGATGGTTTTGTGAGGGGCTTTTCCCCACTTCGCTCTGCACTTCTCTCATTATTTTCCCTCCTGCCATCAAGTGAAGAAGGACATGTTTGCACACCCTTCTGCCATGATTGTAAGTTTCCTGAGGCCTCTCGAGCCATGCAGAACTGAGTCAATTAAATGTCTATAAATTACCCAGTCTAGGGTAGTTCTTTATAGCACCGTGAGAACAGACAAATACAACATTAACGTAAACTCAGAAGTCATCATTAAAGTAATAAACGATTGAGCACTAGGTGTTACATAATACGCTGTTTTACATTATCCCTTTGTCTTCACATTTTATAGATGAGGACTACAGAAATGATTATGTTTCTGCCTGAGATAACAGGGGTGGGTAAGAAGTGGGCAAAAGGCCGAGTGCAGTGGCTCATGCCTGTAATCCTAGCACTCTGGGAGGCCGAGGTGGGTGGATCACCTGAGGTTGGGAGCAAGACCAGCTTGACCAACATGGAGAAACCCCATCTCTACTAGAAAATACAAAATTAGCAGGGCGTGGTGGCACATGCCTGTAATCCCAGCTACTTGGAAGGCTGAGGCAGAAGAATTGCTTGAACCTAGCGGGCGAGGTTGCAGTGAGTTCTGATCACATTACTGCACTCCACCCTGGGCAACAAGAGGAAAACTCCGTCGGGGGTGGGGTGGGGTGGGGTGGGGAGGGGCGGGGTGGGGCAAGAAGTGGGCAAAAATAGGAATTCAGGTATTTGGGTTATAGGACTTAAGGATCTTAGACCGCAAAGTCACTACCTTCTTACCAAGAATGTTTTTGATATCTGTGTCATTTTGCAGTCTTTGACTGTAAGAAACCATTATTTTATGAAGTTTGTAATCAATACATATACAATTCTGTGTTTTAATTTTTTTTTTTTTTTTTTCCTTCGGAGACAGGGTCTTGCTCTGTTGGCTAGGCTGGAATGCAGTGCATGACCACGGCTCACTGTAGCCTCAACCTCCTGGGCTCAGGCAATCCTCTAACCTCAGCCTCCCAAGTAGCTGGGACCAAAGGGACGTGCAATCGTGCCTGGCTAATTTTTTTTTTTTTTCCCCCCGTAGAGACAGGGTCTTGCTGTGTTGGCAAGGCTGGTCTCGAACTCCTGAGCTCAAGTGATCCTCCCACTTTGGCTTCCCAAAATGCTGTGGGAGCCACCACATCTGGCCTTCTTGTTTCATCTACTCTTATTTCATAATATTTTTCCACCTCTTTACTGTCTTCACATGTAACATTATTACTGGCTAACTACTGTTCTGATAAAGGGCTGAGTTTTAACTGTTTTGGAAGGTTTGCTTTTTAAACATTAACTCTTTGATCCAAGAATTTTTAACCTGGTAGCCATGGGATTCAGGGGATTATACCCTTTGAAACGACATGTAATTGTTTCCATTATGTATTTTTCTGTTTTTTAAAACTTTGTCTTTTATGGTTTTATCTGAATGCATTTTTCTAAGTCTTGAAGTGGTTTGTAACCAAGAGTTAAGAATTATTGTTTTAATCTATCTATAACTTATACAGATACTTAACGTAAGGTGTGTACTTTGGCTCATTTTCCATTGTCTATATATTCTGCCTTTTTGCTGTTAAAAAATAAATTTGACCATAGTTAAGACAATCCTAGGATTTGAGAAGTTCTTTAAGTGATTGTGAGTGCCTCCTGCTAACTGGCTCATAAGCCATAATTCAACAATCATAAGTTATCCTCACCATGGAGAACAAACTTCTAATTCAGAAAAATTATTATTATCTTTTTATTGTTAGAGACAGAGTCTTCTCAATATGTTGCCTACTCCTAGTCTCAAACTCTTGGTCTCAAGTGATCATCCTGCCTTGGTCTCCCAAAGTGATGGGATTACAGGTATGAACCACTTTGCCTGGCCACCTTAGTAGAATGAATTTCAAAGTTCTGGCAGTAGCAATCAAATGAGGAAGGTAAGACTTATTAATTTTTTTAAGTCTGAACAATGAATCAGAAAACTTTTATTTTTTAACATTTTAAGTTAAAGTTGGACATTAATTTGGGTAATAGAAAGAGAAGAACAAATATTTGATTATCATAGTTCTTAAGGGGAAAACTTTAAAAATGTTCAAGTATTCTATATTTTGAGGGCTATACAGTAATTCAAGAATATATACCCACAACAGTCTATTTATTCTTAATAAAATAGTGCTTAGGGGTAAAGAATTGAGTCTGGGATTTGGTAAGGAGTCATCTGACTGTTACAAATAACTAGAAGCTGCAGACATTTTTCTCTCACAAAAACCTACTAACCACCCCAGCAAACTGCTGACTTCACCTGAGTGACCAATGTTAGAGTAGAAACAGATAAAATACAAAAGAGAAATAATAAAGGCAAATTGGATACTCAAAGCATGACTTACTAAATGCCAAATAAAGAGTTTACCGTTACAGACATATAACTAAACTATGAATGATGTACTATGGCCACCATCTTTAAAACACAACAGCACTACTTACTTTACTGCCAGTGAGTTGACTGAGATGTGGTTTTAGCTCATCACCAATTACCGCATGAACAGCCACCAGACAGAAGACACAAGCTTTCCGAACACTGCTCTCTGAATTATCATAACCCTATAGAGAGAAGTCCACTGTTAGTACTCCAGGGGATCTGAGAAAACTACCTTTTTAATAGGGACAGAAGATGAAACTGGAAGATGAAATCTCAAGCGTACTGAGGAGAGAAAACTCTGCAGATCGAAGTTAACTTTTTAACCTTTTCAAACATAGACAATGCCCTTCTTTCCCCCTTTACTTCCCCTACTGCGCCCTCACTCTGTTAGCCCTCTCCATCAGGTTCTTACTTAGCCTGGAAAGATGCACTTCTCTGACTCTGAGGCTGCCCCCTTGCCAATTCACCCTGAAAAAAGTCTCCAGACTAATTTCCCTAAAGCATTAGGCTTTAAGGCTGTCAGCACCTCCCCACTATCCAATGAAACCTAAACTTGGTTGTTTGGTAGCTCAAGGTACTCCTATAATCCAGGCCTAATTAAGTTTTACATCTGTTCCATCCCTACAATTACCGTCTCCAATAAATCCAGTCTATGTAAACGATTCCCTTTTACTTTTATTATGCTTTTAATAACCTCATTTTATTTAAAAAATTATTTTGTTTCTAATTGACAAATAAGAATTGTATATATTTATGGGTATACTGTGATGTTTCAATACATGTACACTATGGAATGATCAAATCAGGCTAATCAACACATTTATCACCTCAGATACTTATCATTTCTTTGTAACATTTGAAATCCATTTTTAAAATAATTGCTATTTTGAAATATAGCTTATTAACTAGTTACTGTGCTGTGATAGCCAGAACCCAGTCCTCTTTAACTGAAACTTTGTACCCTTTGACCAACATCTTCCCTTTTTCTGTCCATCTCCCCAACTTACGCTTTTGATCACACTACTTACTCTATTTCAATAGTCTACAGCAATCTTATCCATGAAGTATTTTTCAATCAATTATCTGAATGAATATGCACATTTTACTTAGGGGAAAACAGAGTTCACCTCCACTAAAGTCCTAATCATTTTATGTTTCTAAAACAACTGCAGAAACATTAAAACATCAACAGATATCCACCTAAAATAGGTATATTATTCCTAAGTCATGCAATCAATGTTAATTTTATTTTCCCTCATTTTTATATAATTGTAATTATAATGTAAATTAATTTTTCTAGGCTTTATAATCATATGAGGCATTCATTTCATGTTTGCTAATTCAACCACTCTAGAGTATTGTAAGTTTAAATCCTCCTCCCCAACAACCTCCTTCCTGCTAAATTTTTCCTAGTAAAGATAACACTACAAACAGTATGGCATTCAATGTTTAAATATCATCAAGCATCTTTTCATGTACTTGCTGGTCATTTGTACATGTTCTTTGAAGAAATATCTATTCAAGTCCTTTGCCCCTTTAAAAGTCATTTATCTTTTTGTTGCTGAGTTATAAGAGTTCTTTACATATATTCTGGATAGTAGACCTTTATCAGATAAATAATCTGCAAAAATGTTCTCCCATTCTATAGGTTGTCTTTTCAGTTTTTTGATTAGGTCCTGTGAACAAAAGTTATTAATTTTGATGAAGTCCAATTAACCTATTTTTTATTTATTGTTGATGCTTTAGGTGTCATATCTAATAATCCACTGCCATAGAGGATGACCTTAAATCTAAGGCCTAGAGATTTATCCTTGTTTTCTTCTATGATTTTTATAGTTTTAGTTACTGTATTTCGATCACTGATTTGAGTACATTTTGTTTATGGTACCTGGCCACTGAAGTCTGTTATTTCAGTAGTCAGCCAGTGACCTCACAGAGATTTCTTTAAATGGCTAGAGTCAAAACAAAACAAGAAACTCTCCCAGTCTTTGCAGATTGACTCTGAGCTGGGTAATCATTCAATTAGCTAGGCTGCCTACAATTCTGTTAGCCCAACTCCTACTTGCATGGAGCCCAAAGAACATCCAGAGATCCAGGCCTATGGTCCTCTAAGACAGTGGTCCCCAACCTTTTTGGCACCAGGGGCTGGTTTCGTGGAAGACAGTTTCTCCACAGATGGGGCAGGGTGGTGGGGGGATGGTTTTGGGATGAAACTGTTCCACCTTGGATCATCAGGCATTAGGTAGATTCTCATAAGAAGCATGGAACCTAGATCCCTCGTAGGTGCAGCTCACAATAGGCTTTGTGCTCCTATAAGAAGCTAATGCCACTGCTGATCTGACAGGAGGTGGAGCTCAGGGGGTAATGCTCGCTTGCCCACTGCTCACCTCCTGCTGTGTGGCTCAGTTCCTAATAGGCCATGGACCAGTACCAGTCCATGGCCTGGGGGTTAGGGACCCCTGCTCTAAGGTCTTTTCTGAGCATACTTTTGGTGGATTCCTCAGTACACATGACAATCCAGCAAAATCCTTATTTCATCAATTATCTTCTTTCTCAGCTTCCTCCTTCCCAGGCTTTTCTGTTTGCTGCCTGTCCTGTCTGCTCTCCCTTGTCTCAGGTGGCTATGGGTAGTATATGTTTTTAAATCTTTTCAATAGACACTACTTAGGAAGCCAATTCAGCCTGATGGGAGGTGAAACAAAGGCCAGTCTCTGTGCCAGCCTTTCAGAGAATGCCAGAGATTTAAAAATAAAGAAAAAACCACAATTTTTTGAGAACAAGGTCCATGTCCCTCCTGGCACCAGCAAGCTACACTGCACATATGGGCCACCACCACCAAGGCTTCTGAGCATGGGAGATGGTAGGCAGTTAAGTAACTTTCTTACTGAAAGTAAAAAAATACTTTTCAGTACATGAAAAAGAATGAAGCTGAAATCCTATCTCACACCATATACAAAAATTAACTCAAGGAATGATGCCACAGAAAATGGCAGACACAGTAGGAAGCTTACGGAATTGACACTTCTACTTAGGCAACCATTGAGCCAAAATGAATAGAATCATGCTACAATGACATATAATTTTCAGTGGCTGCTGAAATCATTAGGTGAAAAGATGATGGGGCAGGGTATATAATGAAGGGGTTACACTAACATCTGAACCTACTGATCGGTCTTAAAATCACTGAAGGCGGGACAACTACATATTATGTGTTTTTCAATCAGATGCCACCTAAAAAAGTTTTCTTGTTTGGCTCGGTGGCTTATGCCTGTAATCCCAACACTTAGGGAGGTGGACGCAGAAGTACTGCTTAAGCCCAGGAGTCCAGCTTAAGCAACAAAATAATACACTGTCTCTACAAAAAATTTTAAAAATTAGCCAGGCAACTCACCACTCAAAACAAACAGAAAATTAAGCCAGAAAGTAATCTTTAAAACATTATACTGGAAGTATTAAGCCAGAAAGTAATTTTTACAGCATTATGCTAGATCCTGAAAGTATAAACTTCATGAAGTATTTAATATGACATACTTATAATTTGCTTTGTAATAAAATTTGGTGTATTTTAATTCATTGTAGCATTACTCTAAAGTACTGAAAGTAAGAAATTAAGCCTCTTTCATTAAGTACTCTCTTGGTTACTATCAGTTTTTGGTTAGATCCTAGAGTTCCAAAAAAGTTGATTCTATTCATTTTTGCCAGCTCAGTGGTTGCTTAAGTAGAGGGATCAATTCTTGGAGCTTCCTACTCTGTCTGCCATTTTCTATGCATCACTCCTTAATTTCTGTATATGGTATGAGGTAGGGGTTTAACTTCATTCTTTTTCATGTGGAAACTCAGTTGTCACAGCATCACATTTATTAGAAATACTCTTCTTCCCCACAAAAAAACTATGATAATCAATTGTCTATAAATGTGAGGGTTATTTTTGGATTCTATTTCATTGATCTGTAAGTCTACCTTTATAATGGTACCATGTTGTCTTTACTACCACAGATCTGTAATGTGTTCTAAAATTGGGAGTGTGAATACTCCAATTTTGTTCTTCTTTTTCAAGTTGATTAGATTCTTGAGACTCTTTAAATCTTTAACAGTTGATAACTTCCTCTTTCTTCATGCCACTTCTTTATTAAAGGAATCTGGCAGTTTTTCTCGTAGAATTTCCTACATTCTGAATTTGAACCGAATATACCCTTAGGGTACAATTTAACATGCTTCTCTATTCTCCGAACTTCCTTTAAACTGACAGTTAAGCTAAGACTTCATTAGATTTAGGTTCAACTGCTTTAGAAAAGAACATTTTTTTCTTTTTCTGTTTTCTTTTTTCAACACTGATCAGGAGAGAGATGAAGTATATATATATATTTTTGAGACACGGTCTTGCTCTGTCACTTAGGCTGAAGTGCACTGGTATGATCATGGCTCACTGCAACCTCCACCTCCTGGGCTCAAGTGATCTTTCCACTTCAGTCTCCCAAGGAGCTGAGACTACAAGCACATGCCACCATGCCTGGCTAATTTTTTGAAGTTTTTGTAGTGACAGTTTCTTATTATGTTGCTTAAGCTGTTCTCCAACTCCGAGGCTTAAGCAATCCTCCTGCCTTAGCCTCCCAAAGTGCTGGGATTACCGGTATGAGCCACCAAGCCAGGCAAAATAACTTTTTCAGGTGGTGCATCTCATTGAACGACACATAATGTCTAGCTATCCCGCCTTCAGTGATGTTAAGACTGATCAGTAGGTTCAGATGTTGTTAGTCTAACCCCTCCATTATATATCCTGCCCCATCATCTTTTCACCTAATAATTTAAGTGGCTACTGAAAATCACTTCATATATCCATTGTTTCAATGAGGTCATATCGTGTGTGTGTGTGTGTGTGTGTGTGTGTGTGTGTATTTATTTTTTGAGACTCTTGCTTAGCCTCCCAGGCTGGAATGCAGTAGCATGATCACAGTGCATTGCAGCCTCAAATTCCCAGGCTCAGGTGATTCTCCCACCTCAGCCTCCTGAGTAGCTGGGACCACAGGCATGCCACCGTGAGCCACTGAGCCAGGCAAGAAAACCTGGCTAATTAAAAAAATTTTTTGTAGAGATGAGGCATCACTATGTTGCCAGGCTGGTCTTGAACTTTTGGGTTAAATGATCCTCCTACCTCGGCTTACCAAAGTGCTAGGATTAAAGGTGTGAGCTACCACACGCTGCCTAAAAAATGATTAAAAAAAAAAAAAAAAAAAAAACTTCCTTTTTTTTTTTTTTTCCCGAGACAGAGTCTCACTCTGTCTAGAGTGCAGGCTAGAGTGCAGTGGTGCAATCTTGGCTCACTGCAACCTCCACCTCCCGGGTTCAAGTGATTCTCCTGCCCCAGCCTCCTGAGTAGCTGGAATTACAGGCGTCCATCACCAGCCTAGCTAATTTTTTTATTTTTAGTACAGATGGGGTTTCACCATGTTGGCCAGGTTGGTCTTAACCTCCTGACCTCAAGTGATTTGCCCTCCTTGGCCTCATAAAGTGCTGGGATTACAGGTAGGAGCCACCACGCCTGGCCACAAATAATTTTATAACTCAATAATTTCTTTAAATTTATGAGCTGGAATCCTTCTAAAAGTATTTTATCTCATCAAATACTTGGTTATCCTGAAAATAGGATAGGTAGTCTATGTGCTTTGATTCTTTCTCTTTATTAACCAATTTTGAGAATAACCCAATAATCTTCAAAGTTGGCCAGTTTTTAAAGTTATCAATATAAACTCATGAATTTCACTTTAAAATTTGATGTATTTTAATTCATTGTAGCATTATTCTTTCTTACTCTCAAATATTCATAGTTTCCCTGCTTTCAGACAAGAATTCCCAGGCTCATTTTATACATTACCTGTTCCAAACCTGGACTGTCATTTTCCCAAAGACACCTAACTCTTTTGAGTGGAAAATGGTATTTGAAAATCACAATCTGGGTGGTAAGGTTGCTCAGTGTTCCTGAGTTGATACTGATTTAGAGGCTAGGTCTAGGAAACACTTTTTCCCAGAGATAAGAAATTAAATAATATTTTCATTTGACATATCTAATTCAAAGTTGAGATTTTCTTCATTTTATGACATCATTATTTGCTTTGTGCTGATCTGTCTTATCTATCCATCTAATTTATCTATAGATATGTGTATCAATGTTATTATTCAAAAATAACTTTATTTTTCAAAAAAAAAAAAAAATCTTTCCTTACTATGAATATACTGAATGCAGTTCAGGATTTCTTTGCAGTTTTTTTTATCTTTAGAGTATATCCCATTAAAGACTGGTAATAAAATATTCTTTCTTAAGCTCGGACTGCTGTTTTCAATAGACCTACTGTCTAATTCCCCCTTTACAAGCTTTAAAAACTCTGATTCATGCTTTTTATTCATTTCTATTGTTTTCTTACATTTTTAAAATCTTGTTTTCTTAAATTTGGGTTTAAGTTTTCATTTGCTTTGTGTTCATATGTTTCTGGTGTACCTTCACTGTAGGTATATTTCAGGCCATTATTTTCTTCCTCTTTTTTGAAGAATAGGCAATATGTTTGTATGGGCTTGACTGCCATACCTGTTTCTGTTGCTCATGTGTAAGTGAAAGACACTTTTCTGCATTCTATATTTTAAAATAAAATCCTCTGTGTGGGGGAGTGGATTGGGCCACGAAAGCTCTTCTAGCTTTATTGCTGCAGGATTCTTTCTTCTTGTTACCCTTCTTTAAAAAAAAAACTAGTTTTGTTTAAAGCTCTGGGATACATGTATAGGACGTGCAGGTTTGTTACATAGGTAAACATGTGCCATTGTGGTTTGCTGCACCTATTAACCCATCAACCGAGGTAGTAAGCCCCACATGCATTAGCTAGTTATCCTGATGCTCTACCTCCCCACACTCTCTCCCCTGACAGGCCCCAGTGTGTGTTGTTCCCCTCCCTGTGTCCATGTGTTCTCATTGTTCAGCTCCCACTTACATGTGAGAACATGCGGTATTTGATTTTCTGTTCCTATGTTAGTTTGCTGAGGATAATGGCTTCCAGTTCCATCCCTGTCCCTGCAAAGGACATGATTTTGTTCCTTTTTAATGGGCTGTGAAGTATTTCATGGTATGTTATCCTTATTAAGTATTAAAAAAACACGGCCTTTGGGTAGCCACCTCTGCCACAGTATTGCTACAATACTCAGTTTATTTTAGATTCAGAGGGTACACATGTAGGTTTATTACATAAGTGTACTGTGTGATGCTGAGAGTGTGGGCTTCTATTGATCCCAACATCCAAACAGTGAACACAGTACCAAATGAGTAGTTTCTCAACCCTTCCCTCTTCTCCCAACTCCTTTTGGAGTTACCAGTGTCTATTGTTCCCAATTTTATGTCCAAATATATCCAAAATGTTTAGCTTCCACTCATAAGCAAGAACATGTGGTCTTTTGTTTTCTGTTTCTGGGTTAATTCACTTAGGATGATAGCCTCCAGCTGCATCCATGTTACTACAAAGGACACGATTTTGTTCTTTCTTATGGTTGCGTAGATGCCCAGTTTAGACTCTGTTCCAAGGAATTTTTTGCTAAATAAGCTCTCTCTGGAAGGGAGCTTTTGTGGTATTTCTAAGGGCCCTGAGGATACATGCCACCCCAGCATGATCCTGGCTTCCTGCAGTACCTTTGCCTTCAACTCCAATTTTTTATCAGTTTTGTATGCCTTTCACTAAGAATGGGGACATAGGGGTGAGAACCTGTGTGATTCTCTGGTTCCAGGGTCTTAAAAGTAACTTTTGACTTTCCTTCACACTTTTCCATACCACTGATATTTGCAGGGGAACTTGCTGCTGATGACGGTTTGGCCCTATCTGCTTATATTATGGGGTTCACTGGGATACCTTTTTCTAATTTTGTTGAAGATGTTTTTTATGTTTTTTTGTATGCTAGTTGCTCAGTGAGATAATTTTCTGGTGAGAAAATCTGAAGCCATTCTAAAACTATATTGCCGTTACCTTCTTGCCTGTCATTGCTCTGGTCCTAATACCTACACACCCTAATTTTAATAGTCTATAGCAAAGAACTAAAATGCTAACATTTATATTCATTAGCATTCTTGTGCTTTTCTGATAGGTAAGATGTCTTTTCCCTATAATCATGTATGCAATAAAATCCTGCACCAACCTATCAGCAGAGGAAATAAGAAATGTATAAGAACTTAAAGCCATAATAGCTCTTTGCTAGTATCCTTATACTCTAAGTCATTTACCCAGCAAACATGTATTCAGTATCCGCTATATGTATGACATATACATATGACATATAGTCTGTTCTTAGTACTAAGGCATAGACAAAGAAATCTGATCTTATGTTAGGACCTCACAATTTAGTAATATTAAGCTTATAATAAAATAAAAAATACAATACTACAGATGCATAATGAATGATTAATTCTCTTTAGATGGGGTCTTAATATACAATACTATTAATATTAGTCAGCCATTAAAATTACATTGTAAAATATTTGATGAAAAAAGTTCACAATGTATGGTTAAATTAAAGCATGTTACAAAATACATCTGATTTTTGTTAAAATGTTTCTATGACTGGGTTTATGTGGCTAAAGAGAAACACATTACATCTATGACTGTAAATTAGCGTTAACTACTTTGGAGTGAAATCTGGCAATGCCTAGAAATTGTTTCTAGATGTACATATATAAGTGCATGAAGATATTACAAGGAAATTCATTATATTTGTTAATAAAAAGGAAATAATCCAAATATTTATCAATAGACGAATGGATTTACAATTTGTGGCACATACATAAATGGCATATTATTCATTCATAAAAAGGAATGAAATTCTGATGCATGCTACAATATGGATGAACCCTGAAAACATTATGCTAAGTGAAATAACCCAGACTTAAAAGGACAAATATTGTATTATTCCACTTATCAGAATCTAGCAGAAAACAGAATAGAGGTTACTAGGTGCTATGAGGGAGGGAGGAAGGAATGGGGTTATTGTTTAATGGGTATAGTTTCAGTTTGGGATGATGAAAAATTTCTGTATGTGGATAGCAGTGATGGTTGCATGACATTGTGAATTTATTTAATGCCCCTAAATTGTACACTTAAAAATGGTTAATTTTATGTTATATAAATTTTACCTTACTGACATCCACCTGGCTAGTTATGAAGAGTCTTTGTCCTGAATATTGCAAACAGGAGGAAGGCTTGATCATGCTACTAATGTTGCCTGGAAAGTACTTAAAATAACTGAATCCCAAATGTATCATGGCTTATTCCCCTACAAGCTTTGTTGCTTACCTGTATTAGACCTGGCATAATCTCTGGCAAAAGCAGGTTAAGGGTTTCCTTGGACACTCTTTCTATCACTTTTGTTTGCATTTTGATTGCAGCCAAATTAATTGGGTAATCTGCAGTTTGAATGATAGGACAAAGCACTTTGATGCACTGCTCTGGACTAATTGAAGTGGCCAACACTGATGCTGCTTCTTCAGCAGATCTCACCACCTAAAAAAACAGGAAATTCAGCCAGAAAGTAATTTTTAAAACATTATACTATTTCCTGCAAGTATAAACTTCATGAAGTATTTGTTATGACATAATATTTAGATTTGCTCTGAATATGAAAAGTGAGGGTACAGATTATAGAAAGGATTGGCAAAATGTCAGTAACAGCTAAAGTTAGATGATGAATACATGGGGCTTAGCATACTATACTCCCTTCTTGTATTCTTTTTTGCTGCTAGCTGAAGTAGGTTTTTGTTCGTTTGTTTTGTTTTTTGAGACAGGTTCTTGCTCTGTCACTCAGGCTGGAGTGCAGTGGCTTAATCATGAATCACTAGCTCAAACTCCCAGCTCAAGTGATACTCTCACCTCAGCCTCCTGAGTAGCTGGAACTACAGGCATACACCACCATGCCTGGCTGATTTTTTTAAATTTTTAATAGAGATGAGGTCTTGCTATGTTGCCCACAGTGTTCTCAAACTCCTGAGCTCCAGTAATCCTCCCTCCTTCGCCTCCCGAAGTGCTGGGATTACAGGCATGAGCCACCGCGCCTGACCCTAAAGTAGTTTTTAAATCAAATTGTGGTCTAGTTGCGTTAGAGTGAGGAGACTCTATTTACCTAGACTACAATGTGACTGGAGTCCCCTGCATAGCCATTATTACTACTCTCATCTCTAGTACTGCTCATTATTAGTACTCTCATCTCTAGGAGTGCTTGAGCCCTTTGTATCACATTAATGAGAAATAAAATAAAAATCATATGCTTAATGTGTTATCCAGAGTTAACAACCTTTCCTCCTTGTTTTCATAATGATTTTCTTCCTTCTGTAATGAGCTTGGGGAGGATAAAACACTGGTTTTGTGAAGAAGACAAGAAACAGCCGTCTATCTTCTTATTAGAGTCTGTAATCTCTAAAGATCTAAATATAGTCTTAAGAACATGTAAATATAATTACTTTTGATGTTACTTTGGCAGTGTCTCACTTATGATCTTAATAGGTGAAAAATGCTTAGGGTACTGTGGGAAATACACACACACACACACACAAACACACACACAAAAGAAAAAGAAAATACACTGGACATTAGAAGACTTGGGGCTAATTTCAGTGGTGATACCTTAAGGGTGTCAATTTTACATTTTGTAGGAATGTTACAGGCCTTATTTGGGTCAAAAGGTGGATAACTAAACTATAAATATTAGATATCATTTTTAAAACTTTCAATGAAATGCCATACATGTACCACTACTAAACACTGGTTGAATAAAACAAAAACAGAAACAGAAACAAAACTGGGCCGGGCATATCACTTGAGGCCAGGAGTTTGAGACCAGCCTGGTAAACACAGTGAAACCCTCTTTCTACAACAAAATTAGCTGGGCATGGTGGTGCATGCTGGTAATCCCAGCTCCTCAGGAGGCTGAGGCAGAAGAGTCATCTGAACCCAGTAGGCAAAGGCTGCAGTGAGCAGAGATCGTGCCACTGCACTCCAGCCTGGGTGACAGAGCAAGATTCTGACTCAAAAAGACAAAAAAAACAAAACCCCTCCACCCCAAAACTCCTGTAAAAACCCAGATAGATTTAAAAGTTATGATTCATTCTTCTAGAATATTCACAGTCAAATTTTTTTAAAAAGTAATTATCCAGCCGGGCGCGGTGGCTCGAGCCTGTAATCCCAGCACTTTGGGAGGCAGAGGCGGGTGGATCACGAGGTCGAGAGATCGAGACCATCCTGGTCAACATGGTGAAACCCCGTCTCTACTAAAAATACAAAAAATTAGCTGGGCATGGTGGCGCGTGCCTGTAATCCCAGCTACTCAGGAGGCTGAGGCAGGAGAATTGCCTGAACCCAGGAGGCGGAGGTTGCGGTGAGCCGAGATTGCGCCACTGCACTCCAGCCTGGGTAACAAGAGTGAAACTCCATCTCAAAAAAAAAAAAAAAAAAAAAAAAAAAGTAATTATCCAATGGATTTCAATTTCCCTGCAGCCTCACCAACATATTGTCTATATTTCTTTTGGGCGTTAAGTGGTCTCTCACTGTGGCTTTGGTTACATTTTCCTAATGACTAATGATGTTGAACAGCTGTTCATGCACTTACTGCCATCTGTGTATCTTCGGAGAAATGTTTATTCAGATCCTTTGTCCATTTAAAAAACTGGCTATCTTTTCATTGCTGAGTTGTAAGAACATATATTATGGATATTAGTACCTTATCAGATACATGTCTGCAAAAATTTTCTCCCATTCTATGAGTTGTCGTTTCACTTTCAGGATAATGTCCTTTGAAGGTCAGAAAATATTTTCTTCAATTTTTTGTTTCTTTCTTTTCTTTTTCTTTCTTTTTTTTTTTTTGAGACAGAGTTTCGCTCTTGTTACCCAGGCTGGAGTGCAATGGCGCGATCTCGGCTCACTGCAACTTCTGCCTCCTGGGTTCAGCCAATTCTCCTGCCTCGGCCTCCTGAGTAGCTGGGATTACAGGCAGGCGCCACCAAGCTCAGCTAATTTTTTGTATTTTTAGTAGAGACGGGGTTTCACCATGTTGACCAAATAATAATGACCTGCTTGGGCAACATGGTGAAATATCATCTTTACAAAAAACACCAAAAATAGCCAGGCATGCTAGTGCATGCCTACAGTCCCATCTTCTTAGGAAGCTGAGGTGGGAGTTCACCTGAACTGGGAGGCTGAGGCTGCAGTGAGCTGTGATCGTGCCACTGCACTCCAGCCTGGGTGACAGTGAGATCCTGACTCAACAAACAAACAAATGAACAAACAAATCCCCCCCAAAACAATGATTCTTATCTTCATTAGTTATTTTAAAAAATCAAATTCTTACTGCTAAATGGAAAGTGAAAATAAGATTGCTAAACTGTAAGTAGAAAACTGAAAGTGAGGTGAAGGAGAAAATGAAATCAAATTATTTCCTAGAGCGGGCTTATTTTAGGTGAAAGGCCATGGTATCACTGTTTAATTCACTTAATAGAAAAAAATATGCTTGCATCTTGTCAGGTATTACCTTGAATGTCAAGGCAAATGTTCAAGAAAATGATTAATAAGGCTACATTTTACACAATGTTTACATGTTTCATGAAATAAAATAATGAAATCATAATTTAACTGCCAGGTAACTTACCTCCTTATGAGGATCTTTATGTGCTTCCAATGTTTTCATGACAGTCAATTCTGCATAGTTTTTAAATCTTGCTGGTTGATGCCTTAGGATTTCTCTTAAAACTTTTAATGCCAAAGCCCTGATTGTAGGCTAAGAAGAAACATTTAAATATTTTTAATATTTTGGGTTCTAGATAATCTTTAACATTTTCAAATTTTGTAACTTAAGGGTCTTACTATTAGAAGAGGAATTGTAGACAACTGCATAAAGTATGTGGTAGACTACTAATTAAGTTTTCTCACCTCTAGTTCAAAATTTATATTACACTTATTATATTTGCAAGAAATCAAGAACTACATTCAGACTATAAAAAAAAGTTTGGAGTCGGGCATGGTGGCTCATGCCAGTAATCCCAGCACTCTGGGAGGTTGAAGCAGGTAGATCACTGGCAGTCAGGAGTTCGAGACCAGCCTGGCCAACATGAGGAAACCCTGACTCTACTAAAAATGCAAAATTAGTTGGGCATGGTGGCACACGTCTATAATCGAACCTACTCAGGAGGCTGAAGCAGGAGAATTGCTGGAGCCTAGGAGGTGGAGGATGCAGTGAGCTGAGATCATACCACTGCATTCCAGCCCGGCAAGAGTAAGATTACTTCTCAAAAACTAAAATAAAATAAAACTAAATTAAAAAAATAAAAAATAAAAGAAGTTGCTTCTGAACAACTAATCTAAACATGTAAAATAAGTAACATGTACTTTTCTATAAGAATTCAGCCTGCAATCTTTCATTTTTCCTGCTGTTAATTGTTCAAAATTGTTGAGGTGCTTGGTTTAAAAGAAAAAGTACTTCACAGTGAAAACTTTATGCAGAAAGAAGCAGCAGAAGAGACTCATTCTCCCAATTTCTAAATCTGTATAGCACTAGATTAACAGGCAATCTAAAAGAGACAGGCAGGACAGGCTACTGTTTACGTATTTTGCCATTTACCTCTTTATCTCCAAGGGTTTCAAGCAATAAAAGCAATATTGTTTTGAAGTGTTCATCCCAAACACTAAAAGATTCTTCCTGTGTCAGTTTCATAAGTTCATAGAGGGCGATTTTTCTTTCTTCTACACGTTCATTGTGGTTAGACAGCTCCTTCAACAACTCTGCAACTAGGTCAGAATGGTCTAGGGAAAGATCTGTCAAAAGGACATGATATTAGTTCTGTAAGTTTATACAGTGACTCTCACAAGTATGGGGATGAAAACTTTATATGACCAAACACAGATATAACCATTATGTTTGTTGTAAAAAAGACAAAGAAAAAAAAAACCATAAGTAATTTTCTTTTCAATTCTGTCATTCTCAAAACACCAGTGCTATTTTAAAACTTTATATAATAAAAACACACAAAAGCGAGACCAGTATAATGAACCTTTATATACCCATCACCCAGATTTAACAGTTTTTAAGATTTTATCTTTTTTTTTATCTTTTTTTTTTTTTTTTTTTTTTTTTTTTTTTTTTGAGACAGTCTCGAACTGTTGCCAGGCATCAGGCTGGAGTACAGTGGCGCAATCTCAGCTCACTGCAACCTCTGCCTCCTGGGTTCAAGCAATTCTCCTGCCTCAGCCTTATGAGCAGCTGGGACTACAGGCACGAGCCACCATGCCCAGCTAATTTTTTGAATTTTTAGTAGAGATAGGGTTTTACCATGTTGGCCAGGATGGTCTCGATCTCTTGACCTTGTGATCCGCCCGCCTCAGCCTCCCAAGTGCTGGGATTACAGGCGTGAGCCACCGCGCCCGGCCAATTTTAACATTCTTAGGTCATCTTTGTCCTTCCTTTCCTTTTATCTGAAGTATTTCTAGCAAATCCCATATATATCTATTATTTCCTCTTTATATACTCCAGTATATATTTCTATGCTTTCATGACAGGAGACTTAAATGGCTTTTAGTGATGATAAAAATGACCACTGGATTTAGGTATTGACAATCTAATCCCACTATTGTAAACTTCTCCATAAATTACGCCCCCCCCCCCCCCCGCCCGCTTTTTATCTGAAATAGGGTTTCACTCTGTCACCAAGGCTGGAGTGTAGTGGTGTGATCATGGCTCACTGGTCTCCACCTCCCAGGCTCAATTGATCCTCTCAACTTAGCCTCCTGATTACAGCTGAGCATCTACACCTGGCTAACTTTTGTGTTTTTTGTAGAGATGGGGTTTTGCCATGTTTTCCAGGCCAGACTGGAACTCCCGGGCTCAAATGATCCACTGGCCTCCCAAAGTGCTGGGATTACAGGAATGAGCAACCGTGCCCAGACTACAAATCTTTTAACCAATGGTTTATCCCATTCATTGTTTTTGAATCCGTTATTTTAAAAGGAGTTAAAAATGGTGATTATCTAATCATACCATTCTTTCCAAGGGGTAGAATTCTTCTGTAGAGAGTAACTTTATTGGCTAGACCTATTCTTATTACCCTAAAGTACAGCGAAAGAAAAGGCAGAATAGATTCTTAATACAGTTTTCTTTAAATTTCAGTGTTAAGAGTTGGGCCCAGCAGTTACCAACGAGTTTTGATTTGTTTCTGCCTTCTTTTTAAAAACATAATTACAAACTCACGGATTTTATAACTATTAAAAGTCACTTACCGCTTATTTTTAAGCAAGTTATCAGACAGTGCTTTAAATCATTTTTGTAGGAATAACAGTTAAATTGAAGAACTCACATTTGAACATTACAAAATACCAGAGTTCCTCTTAAAATTTTTTGATGATCAAATACATGATAAATTCAGGCCCTGAGGGACTTCAGCAGGTAGTGGCCTGGGCTTGTGCCATACTCATTTCCTTCCTATCTCTCTGGAATGAAACAACCATACAGCATGCTGCAGACCAATATTAGAACACTATTGCTGGTTTTAACAAGAACTATTGCAGCAGGATGAATGCATCTCTATAATCCAGACAAAAATCACTCCCATAAAGTTATACGTTATCAGACTTTTGAAGATGTTAAAGTATCATTCTAACGGTGTATTTTATTTCAGATGGATGAATGGAATTCACAAGAAAATGCTTTACACAGGAAGTCAGTTCTCTTTTCCAGGTAAGCAAGCTTTGTAATTGTCCTATCGGATAATTAGAAATGACCTGACATATAACGGTCTGGACAGATGACTGGCAGAAAAATAATTTCTTACAGAGAAAGCACATAGATTGTTACAAAACTGATCTATCTGTATCATACTAATGAGATAATCCAAAGGTACTGAATTTTTCCTCTACTGACAGAGAGCATCACCATGGGCAAGTAAAAAGGATATAAGCGTTGTAGTATCATTAAATCTCTGCCTCTTATACTCTGATTGGAGCAGTTTCTTAATTATTGCTGAGATACAGTTTTATTATCAGTAAAATGGGAAAACAGCATCCGCTTCCTAGGGTCACGGTGAGGACTTGGGGCTAGAATACAGTAAAATCATTAATATTAATTTTCCCAAGTCTTTCTGACAAATACTGACACAATTGTAATTCTGATAATAAATTTTTGTGACAGTGCTCAAAAAGTACGAAATAGTCTTTCAGGTTGGCAAGCTTTTATATGAATAACTCCACTATCCTCACTAGAAGTAGAATTCTAGAATATTATAGATCCTAGTAAACTTTACAAAGGTTATCAGTGGCTTGTTTTGGACTTGTTAACTTTGATAAATGTGTATGCCTGACTGTAATGTGTGCAGAAACACTGGGTAAGAAACATAATCAGTAGGTATTAGATTTGAAGTAATTTCCTTTTACAGAAATTCTGATTTGAACAAAATAATTATCTTTTGCCAAATTTTAGATTTTAAAAACAAAAAAAAAAGAAGATAAACTGCATGAGGGAGGAGAATAAAAAAAATCAGAACAGAAACAGAGAACAATTTGAAAAAGAATAATGTTAACAACGTTCATAATAAAATAGGTCAAACAGGGTCTTCCTCATCTCAAAATTAAAAATGAAAACAGACAATAAATGAAAATAACTGCCATACAAAGCTTGGGACCGTTACTACTACTGTAGGTTTTTATTTCTTTTCTTTGTACTACTGTAGTCTAACTGAGGGCTTATCCATCTTCAAAGCACATTTACTGAACATAAAATGGCTACCTATGTTTCAGAAGTATATCACACATTAGGCTGTGATGAAATAGTGTTCTCAAGTTCAAAAATACTTTACCCAATTTAGATTTCAGTTATATAGTTTCCAAAAATGCCTTCCTTTAACAAATATAAAACATATGATCCTTAGTAAAGGAGACGAGAATTAGACAATAAGGGAGTGATCTTGTTAAAATACCATAATTTTGGCTTTATGATAATTTTGATATGTTGTCTTTCTCGCTCTCTCTTATTATTATTATTATTATTATTTTTTATTTTTTTTTTTTGAGACGGAGTTTCGCTTTTGTTACCCAGGCTGGAGTGCAATGGCGCGATCTCGGCTCACCACAACCTCCGCCTCCCGGGTTCAAGCAGTTCTCCTGCCTCAGCCTCCTGAGTAGCTGGGATTACAGGCACGCGCCAACATGCCCAGCTAATATTTTGTATTTTTAGTAGAGACGGGGTTTCACCATGTTGACCAGGATGGTCTCAATCTCTTGACCTCGTGATCCACCCGCCTCGGCCTCCCAAAGTGCTGGGATTACAGGCTTGAGCCACCGCGCCCGGCCTTTTTTTTTTTTTTTGAGACAGAGTCTTGCTCTATCGCCCAGGCTGGAGTGCAGTGGTGTGATCTTGGCTCACCATAACCTTCATCACCTGGATTCAAGCGATTCTCATGCCTCAGCCTCCTAAGTAGCTGGGATTACAGGTGCCTACCACCATGTCTGGCTAATTTTTGTTAGAGATGGGGTTTCACCATTTTGGCCAGGCTGGTCTTGAACTCCTGATCTCAGGTAATCCGCCTGCCTCAGCCTCCTAAAGTGCTGGGATTACAGCGTGAGCCACTGTGCCCAGCTGATATATTGTCTCTTGACATGAGAAGTTGGTAAAAACATAATAATTCCTCAAGCTCATTGGTAATCAAATAAATGCAAACGATAATTTTTAAAAATAATCAAAATTATAAATGACCAGGCATTAGGACACAGATTCCCAAACAGACCACAAGGAGGGTCTCCACTGGTGAATATATCCGTTTTCAACCCAGACAGGTAGGAAGGGTGTCCACATAGAGTAGTAATCAGGTGTGATCTGTTGGAACTGAAGTGGAATAAGAACGGCATCCATGGTTTTGGGCGAGGATGGAATGGCAAAGCCTAGCAGGATGAGGAGTATATCTGTGCAAGTGAGAAGGCGGTAGCAGAGATAGCAGAAAAACTGGTAGGAGAAGAACTGGTTGCATACAGATCAAACTGGTAAATATATGAAAGATAACAAAAGCTAGGTTTCTCACAGTAAGAAAAGAGGGTTATCAATCTGGAAATTAGAATTTCCATGGTGCTAGAATGGAACTGGAACCACTGGTATAAAAACACCAGTTTGATAGATATGGAAACAGATACGTAAATCTCTACCCATGCACACTCCTTAGCTATGCCCACTGAGAGATCTAGAGAGCAGTGACATCCCACTAGCAGTGAGCACATCTAGAGTCCAGATCTTAGCCTTTAAAAACCATTTTCCATTAACAGGAACAACAGATCCTTGGAGAAATGACTGACTCCGGGACTGAAGCAGTATACAACAGTACCAAAATGCAAGGATGGGATATGTCAAAAGAACAACAAAAGCCAGCTTGAATGGAATCCTGTTGGTCAAATCAAGGGCAATTTGAGCTTCAAAATAAATAAATAATGATTGTTATAATGGGAAACTATGAGTCCATACTGTTACAAATATGTACGTGAATTTTCTAAAATAAATAGAAAATAAAAAAATTTCGAAATAAATGAATTTAAGTTTAATGATGAACAGAATATTTAATCTGTTTAAAAATATTAGGACCTTGGCCAGCACGGTGGCTCACAGCACTGTAGTCCCAGCACTTTGGGAGGCTGAGGTGGGTGGATCACCTGAGGTTGGGAGTATGAGACCAGCCTGGCCAACATGGAGAAACCCTGTCTCTACTAAAAATGCAAAATTAGCTAGGTATGGTCTAATGTAATCCTAGGTATTCAGGAGGCCGAGGTAGGAGAATCGCTTGAAC